CCCCCCCCCCACCCCTCTCCCTTCCGCCTCCCACGCCCCCTCCGCCGGCCATATTCCCAGCCCACTTCTCGCCACCAATGCCGCAATCACCCTCTGATCTCCAAGACTCGGCCATGCGAGCATCCTCACCCCCGCCGCCGCCGCCTCCATCACCGAATTCCACCCACAGTGGCTCAAGAATCCGGCCACCGCACGATGACCAAGAACCACCTCCTGCTCCACCCACTCCTTCACAACTAATCCCCTGCCTTCCACTCTCTTCACATACCCTTCTCCCAATAATTCACCGATCTCCACTGCCTCCTCTCTGTCCACCTTCGCGCTTTTCACCACCCAGAAAAACCGGCAACCGCTCATCTCCAGCCCAGCCCCCAATTCTCTGATTTGCTCCTTCGACATGGCCGCACGACTTCCAAAGCTCACGTACATCACCGACTTCTCCGGCTGTTCGTCGAGCCAGCGTAGTGCCGGCGAGGCCAAAGATGGCTGCTTTTTTACTGGAAGCAAAGGACCTAAAGCAATGACCGGTGGGAGTCCGGTAATGACTTCGCCAGAGTTGAGCGCAGCGAGTGTCTCAGGCTCCATCGCGAAAAAAGTATTAACAATTATACCGTTCGCCTGAGCAAGCGCCCGGCCGTTCTCCTTAAAGTGGGTTGGGGTAGTGAAGAGATGGTTGGGGTCATGAAGTGGCTGCGGGAGGGAGGAATTTGGAATCTTGAGAACTCCACCGGCGATGTTGATTTCAGCTCCGGTTGGATGGGGGAGGGAGTGGAAAACTGAGCAGAGAGCGAGCATGGAAGCAGAGGAGATGAAAAGGACGAAGCAAGGGATATTTAAGGCTGCGGCGACTGGAAGAAAGGTAGAGGCGATGGCAACGTCTATGATGAGGGAGGAGAAAGCTGGTGAGTTGGTGGAGATGATAGAAGGGAGGAGGTGGGCGGAGCGGCGAACCTTCCATTTGGCGGAAGAAGGGGTCGGCGGAAGGGAAGAGAGAGGGATCAAGAGGTTCGAGGGGGAAGTCAAGGACGAGGGAGGATGGGAGGGAGGAGAGGAGGCTAGATTCCGCGTTGGAGATGGTGGGGCGGAAGGCGAGGAGCGAGGTAGAGATGCCGCGGTCGGAAAGTGCGGTGGCGACGCGGACAAACGGAATAAAATGGCCCATGCCGGAGCTCGGGATGAGTAGGACGCGACGGAGTTTAAGGTCGCCGGTGGACATGGCAGCCTATTTGCTCGAGATACAGGGGACTGTCGGAGGGAGATGGCCTCTTATCAGCATTTATAAGGAAAAGTTTTAGTAATTTTAAATAATAAATTATTAACCTGGGAATGGAAATATTTTTCTATTCGGACACGCAGATCGCATGGGATTTTTTAATTTTTTTTTAAAGCTCATTTAATAATATATTAAATCTATAACAATCAACAACTTATATTTAATCCTGTTGGTATATATAATAAATCTACAACAATCATGGTAGTTGTTAGCATCTGGGTGGGGCATAATCAATTCAATTATATAAGCTAATGAACAAATATAACAATGTCTGGGGATGTATGATGGGAAAAAATATTACCTCAGGAGTACTGATGCATCAGTACTCCAATGAGGGGGTGCCACGTAGGCAATGGTCTCACCGTGGCCCCTACGTGGCACCCCCTCATTGGAGTACTGAGTACTCCTGAGGTAATATTTTTTCTGTATGATGGCGCATTTTGGAACGAGCCCTATTAGAAGATCTATTAAAATTAATTTATTTTTATTTTATTAATGTGCACGAATGACGAGATATTAGTTAAAAATAAAATAAAAATTCTAAAATATCAAATTCAAATACTTATATTACTCCAAAAAAAAAAATTTTTTTTTATTTTCCAACGGAATCTGAATGATAAAAGGTGCATTGGAAAAATAATCAATAAAGCGGGTAAGGATACAAACAAGCATAGCTTGTATTCATGTTCCAGTCATTTGTATTATTTTTTTTTGTTTGAAATTGGCTTGTGTTCAAAATGGCTCATAAATAGTCTATTTTTGTTCAACTCGAACAAATGTTTGGATTCTTTTGTATCTTGTGTTATGCTCCGGCTCATTTAAATTAGTCAGAAAAATGAATATAGGGTGCTAAATTCGAGCTGACACCACACATATTCAATAAAAAATATAGGGCCACACCAAAAAATTTGGAACCATATGACCACACGAGCTATGGTGATAAAATCTTAATATAAATATGTATATATATATATTATTTATGCGTGTTAGAGAATTTGAAGCGGTAGAAAAATGAATATATGGTGGTGAATTCGAATTTGCACCATACATATTCAATAAAAAATTTGGAACCATATGACCACACGAGCTATGGTGATAAAATCTTAATATAAATATGTATAATATATTATTATTTAGGCGTGTTAGAGAATTTGAAGCGGTAGAAAAATGAGTTATTGTTTTAGTATTGCACGAAAATCCAACAAACACTTAGGTAATAAGAGTGAAAGTTAGAAACTATAGAAGTTTTTACATGAAAAGTGCATAAAAGGGAAAAAAATCAGGGAGTCTCGTCCAGTTGAAATGTTCCAGTATTAGTTGGTGATTACACGTACAACCCTTTGTCCAAGAGTTACACAGTTTGTTGAGTTATAATGATCGTGTACAGAAGAAATTATTGCCTCGTGACTGGGAGCAGCTACAACGGAGAGTAGTTGCAGGAGCTTTGGTACATCGTCTTCGAGGTTGTCATTTTTGGGATGATGCACTACTTTGTAGGTTGTTTGGTGACTCCGCGATGTTGATTGTTGTTTCGAATGGTGCTTTGACGCTCTGCAACACAAGTAGAGGGCAGTAGTGGCGGTCGACCGTGGCCAATGTGAGGTGGTTGATTGTGGTCTACAGCTACAGAAATGGAAGGTATTTGTCGGCTCTTCGATTTAGAAGTCCTCTTCTGGCTCAAGTTCTAAGTTCAACCTCAAGGAGAGGGTAAGAAATTATTTATAAAGTTTGGGAGAGGTCTGTATATAAATAAAGAAGAAATTCAGATCACTCCATTGGATGACTCAAAGAGACTCTCTATTGGATGATATTCAATAAACATTTGTGTGTCGTAACGATGTCAAAATTGAGCTCCTTGACTTGTTGGATTCATCTCACCAAGATATTTGATTCGACTATAAACTTGGTAGATTTGGAATCTATTTGTCCTTCCAATCACACACTTAAAGCTTCCAAAATGAATTATCTGCTTGCTCTGAGCTTGATTTGACTTGGATTAAACTAATTTTGGTATCATTGGGTTGGGCTCGTCTCGTCGAGCCAGTTAGTTTGACTTAAGTTTACTGAAATCAAAGTTCTGAATGATTTATAATTGAAGTTTGAACGTTCATTACTAAAAATTACCTAGAGATTCGTGTTATGCCTAGAAATTCATGTCGAATGATCAAAATTTATTGATGATGTATTCATTGCCCCCTATTTTTTGCGAGACCAACTTCATAATCTAAAAATATCATAAATTCAAAATTTTTCTGTAAATGCTTACACACACACACACACATAAAAAAGTTTACATAGCTCAGTTGGTAGGGGTTTGTTTCCTTTATTTTAGTCGTAGGTTTGAACCCGTGCTTTGTAAATTAATTCTATTTTTTGCCGCGGGATTGTACGAAACAGGCCGTTATCGTTTCGATTTTGCTTGTCATGACGAACCAAGGCTTAGCGTGTAAATGTGTCATAATTGCTTGAAGGTGATATAATGTGTCAGAGCCGGGTCCTATCGAGTCATGGCGGGTTTGGTTGGTCGAATCGTGTCACACATCTATTGGTTGCATTGGACAACATAGCGGAGTGGGGATTTGTGGGATGCAGATGGTACGACAATAGCAAAATGTGGGGCCACATATCAAACAACACAAATGAAAATCAAATACCCATGGCACAAATCACACAGGCGTGCCGCAGATCGCGCAAGCGAGCCATTGGATCTATACAGGTGAGAGGAGCGAATCGCTTGTCTGTGTCGCAGATCGTGTGGGTGGGTTGTTGGATTCACACAGGGGTGTGTGGATTGGTACCGATCGGGTGGCATGCATTGTCTTGGTAGGATGGCTGGATCTAAGTGTGCTTTCTCAAAATTTGTTTTTTTTGAAAATATTTTTCATCCATTTGAGCCTATAAATAGGCCAAAAATAGGAGGAAGGAGGTGGAGTTCCTCGGCCTGCTTGTGCGATCAGCAAGGCTTCCAAAAGAAAATAAAGTGGAGTCCCCCGACCTCTTGTGCAATCAATGGTGCTCCCATTTTGCGTTGTTGTTGCTTTTTTTTAGAGAGGACTTCACACACAGCTGTCACGTCATATGAAGGAGATTTCTCGTATTGCTGTGGTGATTTATGGAGAAGATTTTTTGTGTTGCTATTGTGATTTCCAAAGAAGATATTCTGCATTATTGTAGTACTTTTGGGAGAAAATTTTCCGCTTTGCAGAGATGTTGATATTTGGTGAACCTTCAAAGTGGCATAAGCCAGAAGAGGCAAAGTCGAATCAGATGGAGGGTGACCTGATTCTGTTTCAGAAGAAAAAAGTATTATTTCTCGAATTAATGCTGGTGAAGCTACCGACCCTAACTACCTGAGCATATTCTATTTCTCTCAGATGCATTGCTATTCACGAGGCAACCTTGCTAGCCAACATGTGATTTGTGCCAACGCCCGAGTTGATGGACATCCTAAAGGCGACAGAGTATGCATTGCACAACTAACTTGTCGGGTAGCAACATTCATCATCGAGTTGATTGTCTTTTTCATGAAATATATAAGTCAAAGTTAATGCTAGAGATTTTAATCCAATTGGCGAATTTGTTAGTGACGCACATGACCACTTGTTATTCAAGGACAAGATGTTTGTGAAATTTATGCCTACTACACCCGTATTATTCAACAAGTTGAGTTTCATGTAATATTAGTTATGAATTTGGGGACTAAATTCAACTAATTCAACTGCTACAACATCAATCATCAGATTAAAGATTGCTCTCTTAAGCCCCAAACTCAATGCATGGTAAATGAAAAGAATAACTTCAAACAACATGAAAATGGGTGGCATAAATATAATAAGAGTTGACATCAGAAGCAAGATGACAAAGGGAAGACAGGTCAACACTACTTTTAATAGCAGAAGCCACAACCACATGGGATGATGCCTTAGCCATATCAGTAACGGCCTCCTAGAGACTGACGTATCAATAATCATTTATTTTGTGGTACCAGTATCAGCGACATCGGACTCTAGAGCATTCCGAACTGGAAATTCTAGCTTAAGCATTCGTTATGATGCAACAAAAAACCCATGAAGCTCATGACATGATGACATGTATTATCTCTGTATTTCTGCATTCATTTATATCATATAAGTTTTCATCTAATATATTGATTTATTAATTACCTTTGCATCTATAAATTATTTTGTCATCCAACTCATCTTCGACTGTCACTAAGTGGGTTTGTGATTGTAAAATTTATGCATGCTACACTCATATTACTTTCATAAGTTGAGTTTAATGTAATATAGGTTATGAATTTGGGGGACCGAATTCCTTTAAGGATGGTAGTATGTAAGAACGGATTATTTTCCTTTCCCTCGCACTTACATCGCCTCTTGATCGCATAAGTCACGCAATATTTTTTCTTTAATTCTTTGTTCGCAATAGAAACTCCTCCTATTAGCAGGTTGTGAAACACTTTCCTCTTTTGATTGTGTGAATTGCTTGATTGTGCAAATCTAGCAATCTCGCTCACTATTTTCTAATTGGGCTTCCCACGTGTGACCTTCCTTCCTTTTTCTCTCTGATTGTTGCAGCCTTCGTTATCTCCTTCCCGCGCTTGCCCAATGTCCTTTTTTCTCTATTTATTAGCAAATGAAGCATTAGGGCATCACATTGGCTCTCTCCCTCTCCCTCTCTCTCTCTCCCCTCTTCATATAACCCCCTTTCTCCTCTTAAACTCTAGCCTAAAGCCTTTCCTCCCCCATTGTCTTGCCTATCAACATTTGTCGAGAGTCGAACCCTTCTCCTCCTCCTTCCTTCACTAATCAATCATTGTATGCTCTTACTTTCCCTTTTTTTCATGCTTTTCTTATTCTAATGCAATTTTAATTACTCCATTTTTAGATGCATGCATATAACTATTTATGTATGCACGCGTGTGTGTATATATAATAATAATA